CATTAAACCATGTTTAATGCGTTCCAATGGAAATCCCTGCCCCGTTCAACGATGCTTCAGCATAGCGAAGGTTAATCCGGAACGGATTAACCTCGCTATGCGAGGCACCACTGTATTGTTTATTGTTGTTACTTTTCAATTGTTTTTACCCTGTTTGTTGTGAGCTGCCCAGAGTAGACATTGTCTAAATGGGCGGCATACAAGTTTAATAAATAAAATAAATAATGTGAATGTTCTGATATTCTGTCTGTAACAGATCTTCCAGTCTGGCTGATATAAGTTTGACCACAGTAACATGGTACTTGATAAATGCCTGGGATACTGAGTCCCAGAGGATCTTTAACTGGACCAGCCACCTGTTGGATTTTGTTAGTAGGATGGAAAACAGTTTGAAATGAAGCTTGCAAGCCAGTCTTCGTATTTTTGCTGGAATTTGTCCATAAAAAGGAATAACAACTGTTCCTTTTATTTTGGAGTAGAATCATTATTGAGGCTGTCTTGATAAAACTTGAGCCATATTCCATCAACAGAGATAGTGGTGTTACTTTTAGTGTTTGCTGGAAGCCTTTGTTTTGTAAACCGGATAGACTTGGCAGGTTGCCCTTAAATAATGCTGGCTGGTGTGGGGCACTGGCTTTTTAATATTAATCTGTCTGAGTTTGGTCTTAATGTTCACCTAGCTGGTTTTGATTGTATCTAGAGGTATTTAAGGTTAGCTTTGTTTGAGCTGATTTCTTGCCTTCCCTGATGAAGATGGCACAGGATATTGCCATCAAAAGCTTGGACTATTTTAACAATAAACCTCAATTGATATGACTGGAAACCCGTGAGCTTTTTAAACAACACATCCATCGTTAAAGAGTGAGATTTCTAAATTTTTAAAATCTTTCCCTTTAGCCCGTGAAGCTGCCATATGGGAACTAGAAGAGCGACACTTACAGGAGAAACACCAGCTGCTAAAGCAGCAGCTGAAAGATCAGTATTTCATGCAAAGACATCAGTTGCTTAAACGACATGAAAAAGTTAGTACAATCCCTGTTTATCTTTCTTTCACAGACTTAAAGCCGTGGTTCAGACAGGTGATTTCTTACACTTCCAGCCTTTCATTTGCCAGTTTTGTTTTAGCAACACAAATGTTACTAGTTGTCAGTGAACCTATTGGTGATCTGGGGCCAGAATACCAAGTAACCACACACATGCAACTTGTTTTGATATAAAACTGACCACAACTTTATTAGTTACAACTGCCAGTAGCCCCTGGCACTAGCATATAGGTTGGATCCCCATCAGCTATCCCTCCTGGTTTCTGATGCGGACCAGGAAGATATATGTAAACCACGTGGGTATAAGCCACTGGGTGACCTTTCCTGTCCCTCAAGGTAGTGGAGAGCACATAACAGCCCCCTCCCTGAGCTGCATGCCCCCAACTCATAAAGGGGATCCACGTGGAAAGGGATTCCACACTTGTAGGATCATGATCTGTCTGCATGCTTCAAAACTGCTCCTAACAAAGGTATGACAATTAGCTGAATTTATGGAACTCACACTCTTTATTGACTAAACAACACTTACTGTATTTTTCTGTGTATAAAACTTTTTCCTTAAATAGTTTGAGAAAAATTGAGGGTCGTTTTATATACGGAAGGCAGCTCTTTACCGCTGCCTTTTGCAAAGGCAGGGGCTTAGCAAAAAGGATGGGGAGGCATTGCTCCCTTTTTGCGAAGCTTGGTGCCTTCTCAAGAGGCAAGGCGCGCTGGGCTTTAGCAAAAAGGAAGGGGAAGCGTTGCTCCCTTCCCTTTTGCTAAGCTCCATGTCTTCTCAAAAGGCAAGTGGTGTGGGGCTTTAGCAAAAAGGAAAGGGAGGTGTTGCTCCCTTCCTTTTTGCTAAGCTCTGTGCCTTCTCAAAAGGCAAGGAAAAGCGGCAGTGACTTTGACAGCTGCTTTCCTTGCCTTTTGCCGAGGCACGGGGCTTAGCAAAAAGGGAGCCCTTTGACCCCAGCTTTTTCTAATTTGGGGTTAGAAAAGGGGGGGTTTGTCTTATACATTGGGTCGTCTTATAAACGGAAAAGTATAGTACATTATGAGCAAGTATGAGTGGGAGAAATTCTGAAACCTGAAGTGAGTTCTAAAGGTTCAGCCAAAATCTGGCAACAGTTTTATGCTCCTCACATTTCCCTACCTATCGGCCACTCCATGGGCTGATTCAAATGCAGCAGAAAAACGTAATGTTGATGCAGGGCTCCCTGGAAAGGAGGAACCAACCCAGAATGGCATCCAATGAAACATGCCCCCTCAATAGGGCCAGGATTTGGTGCTTATTTTCACAGATGCTTTTAGTATACCTACGAATTAGTCACAGTCTTGCTATGTTTGAACTGCCAAAACGGTATTTTAGACTCAGACTGGAATGAATGGATGTGCTAATAACTCTTACGCTATATTGAAATTATCATCAATTGAGGGTGTAACTAGATTAGATCATTAAATAGTGATAGAATATAAAGGAAGAATCTCCTTTAAAGAAACAGGCACATTCAACCGCCACATATCTTCACTTAGTCAATGGTTATTCCGTAATCCATGACTTTTATTCACATTCTAAACAAACATTAGTTATATAAATTTGAACAGTAGCTTCTTATTAACAGAGCATGTCATAGTTTTCTCAGTTGAACTACATAGTAATTATGTGGTGAGTAGCCACTGTCTGTCATGAATAAATAGTATGGCTTATGTGGTTGATTTATTGTCCTTTAATGCAGAAGGTTTCTCTGCTGTGGTTCCTTTCTCATCCACAAACTAGATAAATTAATATAAATTCAGGGTTCTTTCTCTGTAGAGGAAAAACAAACCAGAGAAGTGAAGATGCACAGACTAGTTTGTTTACTGGCTTGTTTAGCTGCTTTTGCTGTAAATGAGAGCATTCAAACAATATTATAGAATCACAGAATAAGAGTCCAACACAATGCTTAATGCAGGAATACAAATCAAATGGATACCTGCCAGGTGGTTGTCTAAATTTCTCCTGAATGCTTCCAGTGTTGGAGCACTCACTACCTCTCGAGGTAATTGGTTCCATTGCTACAGTTCACCAGATTGTAACTGATAAGCCAAGGTTGTCACTCACTGTTCTGTGTTTATTTATTTTATTTTATTTTATTTATTTGTTTTATACCCCGCCCATCTGGTCTAAAAGACCACTCTAGGCGGCTTTATTTCATGATCCATACTCTCCTCGTACAGTATTTTTAAAATTATGAACTTGTGTTTTGTTACCTTGGTCCTGGCTAGTCAATTTAAAAGATTTATTTCAGTTTTTCTAATGAATAAAATGTAACTATGAAGTGCTGCAATATGGGTATTATATCAAGTCTCGTAAATGGTATGCTAAACAGACATCTACCCCATATTTTTTTAGGAAACAGAACAGATGCAAAGATACAACCAGCGGCTTATTGAAGAGTTAAAAAACAAACAGACCCAGGAAAGAGCCAGATTGCCAAAAATCCAGCGCAGTGAAGCAAAAACTAGAATGGCAATGTTTAAAAAAAGCCTAAGAATTAACTCTTCAAGCACTCCGGAGCAGGATCGTGATAAGATTAAACAGGTATGAAACTGTAGTTCTGTTTTGTCAGTACATTAATTCAGTGGGGGCAAGGGAAAGTTGGAGTTTGGTATATACACACTGTGTTTTCTGTACATTCATGAACATTGATTCCAGGACCCAGAAAGTAGTATCTTCAAAAAGTTGTTATGTAGTTGATGCCACCTGCCATTAAATTCTTGTAGTGTGCCACTGTATTTGGCCAGATATGGACTGAAACAATAATGGAATCAAGCCTATTTTTGCATCTCTTTGGCATCCACATGCTGGGGTCTCTGAGAGAGTTTACTGGCAATAGTACCTGCTCTCCACTGCATTTGTCTTCGTTGCAGTGCAGACTGAGGAATTTCTTTAGGTGTAGCATATTGTGTGTTTTGTTTTGGAATCACTCCCTTCTCTTTAAAAACTTGTTACATTCTGTCTTGGTAGTGTATGTGCCTTTATCTGCTTTCTTGAATGAGTGAGTGTTCAGGTCAAAATTTCATTTTAAAACACTGAAGTCTGTTTCATCCTGCTCCCTTGTTTTCATTTTTCTTTTAGTCCATTGGTATCACCGCCAAAATTTAGAATAGTTATTTCTTGCTTTTGTTTTTCTTCTTAGTTCTGGGTTAGAGGTAATTCTCCCAGAAATAGTTTTTATGCTGCCGTGTAACTCCTCCTACTCCCATCATAGATGTTTGCATGTCTCTACTTGTGAGAATGGGGGTTAGCAATGCTTTAATATTGACATGGACTTCTACATACATCAGATCAGAAACTCCCTAAAACGGCACAGAGCAAGCCAGGTCCTGAACTATGTGCCCACACAAAATCTAGTGGGCTGGTTACTATTGGTTTGGAACCTTTAAGTACTGAGGTTCGTATTATTTCTCAATTAGTCTATTCAGGAAGGATCTAAATTACTACAGTATGTCATAGGAATGAATCAAGATGTTTTTGTAGGTACTGCTTATGCAAAAGCCCTTTTCATCTGTTTAATATTAGTAATTTCAGCAAAATTACATTTTTCTTCTTTCTTAATTGCATGTTGCATTCTAGAAATATCAAGTAGCTTTTGATTTGTGTCTTTCTGGTTTTCTGAAAGTTTGCTATCCAAGAAGAAAAGAGACAGAAAAATGAAAGACTGGCTCAACATCAGAAGCATGAAAATCAAATGCGAGACCTTCAACTACAGTGTGAAGCCAACATAAGAGAATTGCACCAGCTACAGGTTAAACATTTAGCATGGTGTCTATTAATGGAGAAGTTTTACTATACTGCTGCTGTTTTCCTCTAACTTTTCCCCTTTAAATACTATTTTGGGGGGGAATAACACTACTGTATACTATAATAATATTATTTACAGGATTATCTCTATCATAGTGGCTTCTAATTTATGTGCTTCATTTACATGCAGTTTTGGTACATCGTGATGAGTTCAGTGATTATCTTGTAGTTCTAAAGCTAGGCATATGTGTCTGTTTATACTTTTTCTAAGAAAAATTTGTTACTTTCCTGACCAAGGAAAATAACTAACAGGGCACATTGTTCAGCAGTATCAAAACATGCAAAGCTTGTAAATTTGCTCTCATCAAAGCAAAACATTCTATTCCAGGAGTCTTTTAATTGTTTCTAGAAGTGTCTCACACTCAAGCAATTATACGTCAGATTGCATTCTCATTGTAAATCTAGGTGATAGCATCCAGTTTTCTATGTAGCCCTGAATAGATTGGCCCCTGTGAAGTTGGCTTTTTATTTTATACATTGTGGGTAGAGGTTAGGTTGGAAGTAGTGCAGTACTCATCTTTGTAATGATAGTAGTGTCAGATATTCCTCTCAGGTTTCACAGTCTTGTTTAACTGTACTCATGCTCTGCTTGAGCAAATGTCAGTAAATACTGGAATGAAATGCATTGTGGCCCAGAAAGCTACTCCAGTTCAATGTACATTGTAAGAACTAGGTAAGCAGCACTGAATCTGTCTGAAAAAGAGAAATCTATTGTTTTAAGGAGTTGCTAGAAAAAGGATGTATTGTGACTTCTGTCAGGTCACATTGTAAAAATCGTTTGGGTTGTGATATGCCTTTTGCTTTAAGCTTTTGCCTTTGCTTAAGTCTGGTTGGATCCAGACTTAGTCATGCTTTAAATAAACACAATGAAATCAGTAGGACAAATCAGTCATGAATGACTTAATCCATGTGGATTTTATTGGGTTTACTCTAAACAAGATTAAATCCAGCCTAGTTGATTCTTTGTTAGGGAGTAGAGTGGGATTTTTTTGTTTCACATAAGATTTCAGATATTGAAATCAAGTGTGTCATTCATAAAAGTATTCTTAACCTAAATCAGAGAAGGTGTAGAGACCTTGAAGATAGGATTGTTATAGCTTGCTTTTCCTGGACGTAATTGCTAGAGGAAACTAGCAAGATGTGTGACATACTGTTAGGGCAGTGACATACAATTAATGTTTAAAAGCCCTTCACTTTTATGAGCATTTTGTTTTAAAAGCCCTTCTCAGTTGCCTTGTTTATTCTCAATTACTCCAGCCTGAACATGGATCACACTTCTCAGCAAGCTTTGTCCTGCACTGTGTTTAGTATGTTTTCACTGCCAAGCAAAACCTTATTTATGCAGACATATTTGCATATTTCACAGTTGGTTTCAGCTTCTAAATTGCAGTAATACTATGGAGGAGAGCATTATTGGTCATATTTGAACAATTCAGTCATAGGTTTGTTGAAACCTAGCATCTTGATTCAAACCATTGCTGAGGATATAAGAATTATTTTTGCTTCATTCCAAGTTATCTAATTATTGAATTAGGTCAGCATATGCTGCTGAACAAATGGCTAATCCTCTAATCTGGTTTAGTTTTACTAAAGGATTATCTGTATCCCATTTTCAGAATGAAAAATGCCATCTACTGGTTGAACATGAAACTCAGAAACTAAAAGAGTTGGATGAGGAGCACAGCCAAGAACTAAAAGAATGGCGAGAGAAGCTGAGACCAAGGAAAAAGGTAATGTGTCAGTATTTGAGGATAGATCATTACAGATTAGAAGAAATAGGAGACCAAACAGAATGCTATATGTTGAAGACAGGCTTTGTTTTTGCATATTGACCAATGAAATTTCTATTTCTAATTCACACTTCCTACTGTCCAAGAATCACTAAATTTCATAGTATACACAGAGAAGGGGAGCAGTAGACCGTGATATAGAAGTTAATATCAAGATAGAATTGCAGGTTTACCCTGGCAAATTATATGACATATTATTCTTTAATGAATATTACTAATCTCAAGCATCACAGGGTTAAAACATTCTATAGATTCAGAAACCTGTGTGTTTATATCAGAAAAATAGCACATAAGTTCTGCAGACACCATGTCTTATGTCAGACTGGAACATTTTTCTTCCCAGTCACAATCGCTGATGTAATCTCCATCTAGGTCTCACTCTTGTACTGCTCAATAGTACAATATGACCTTTGTTATTGAACAGAACCAGTTATAATGGCCTCTGCCATATTTGGAAGTATTTCTCCTTTGGAAAACTCCATTGCTCATTAATATTTGTTTGTCCTATATTGTATGTAAGTGTAAGAAGATCAGGGAAGGCATTGATGAAAGAAGGATCATTTACATTGTGAAGACAGAGGGTTTAAGAGCCCATGGCTTTTGAATCAGATTAAGAGGAAGTGGCTGAGGTATCTAATATTATGGTGCTGGTAGTGGGGAGATGTCAGATTAGGGCTTTGTTAGGCACCAGATGGAAAAACTTCTGGGAGTCAGATTTGGCCTGCTGCTGTCTGTGCTGTTCTGACTCTGTAGACATTAATAGATCCAATTACACCTCCTTTATGACTTTATATGGAGAACTTACCCACAACATTATAGGGGCTCCAAGAGTGCATTTCATATTCTTTCTCCATATTCTTACGTTTTGATATCTCATTAGCTCATTTCCTACCATTTATAACAAAGGCTTCCATCAGATCCTTCATATTTACTTTGTTTAACTGCTCTTAGAATTGTTTTTTGTTTGTCATTAGACATTAGAAGAGGAATTTGCCCGGAAGCTTCAAGAACAAGAAGTTTTCTTTAAAATGTCTGGAGAATCTGAATGCCTTAATCCATCAGCACAAAGCCGGATTTCTAAATTTTACCCAGTCCCTAGCCTGCATTCTACTGGATCATAAACTTGGAACCTCTGTGAGGTGGCTTTGAGTGAGCTTTTTAGCATTCACAATTCCCATCTTCAGCACCAATCTATCTACACACAGCATCCAGGAATCTTGATGGAATCTCATAGTGGGACGCAAGCCTAAGCTGTTAGCGATGATCTATAATGCTCCAAAAATAGAGAAGATTCTTGAACAAAGTTGCTACTACTAATTTAACCAAATCTTGCTAGCCTCTTTAATTCAGTGCCTGAAACTGTTTAATGTGCTGTTTTTTGTAAAAATATCATGTTTCTGTATCACTAAAGAAACTCTTCTTTGTCATGATATTGTAACAGAAATGTTTGCTGTTGTTACTGCCACACTGTTTTTTGTCAAATCCTTGCACTGAAAAATCCCATTCAACTTTATAGTATACAGTATATCTTCTCCCCCCCCCGCCCGCACTTCTGTTTTCATCTAATGGTTTTCCTCCAAAAGGGTGTAAAATCTCCTCCTCTTCCATGTCCAGACATGTATTTGAGAAATATGAACTGTGTGGATTCTCTCTTCAGCAGAGTAGCAGATTGAAACCACGGAGCACTGAATAGCCATGGCCATCTCAGTCCTTACAAATCAGTGCTCATGCCTCTAATTCCAGGAGATGAGGGGGAGAGGGTTTCTTTCAAAACATCTGTTGTTCTACAGAAGGATTTTAGTTAAATATACAGACAAATAGTTAAATCTGCTACATTATTTTGCTGTGAGGTAACTAAATTTAAGTGGTTTTATTTCTAAAATTCATTGCTGTATTGTAACTTATTTTGTTGGGATATTTATGTTATTAGCAGGAAACATACCTGTATTCAAAACAAAAACTGCAGTTATTTGGGGCTTACCAATTGAGTCACATCAGAAACAGTATTGTAAACTGTTTTTTGATATGCTAATATTGGATTTGTAATACTGTATAATACAAATATACAGTTGCATCCTATCTTTTGCAGCCTAATGTTTTAGTAGATAACTTTGGATAATAAACTGTAAGTTTTTACATTTTGCTACCTTGAATTAAATGGGAGAATGTTCACTTTCATATAAATTTTATATTATTTCAGCAGCATTCCTGCATGCAAAGGAAAGTGGATTATCAAGTCAGATGTGATCAGTACTTTGGCTACTGATTTGAGATAGTGAGTGGTTGATTAATTGTGAAACAGTAGTAAGTATAGTTTGAAAATGCATGTTTTCAGTTGTTTTGTTTTTCCCAAATTATAATTTATACTTTACATATATTTCATAGTTAGCCTTATTACTCCACATTTTATTTTATAAATAAGGATTGTGTTCTACATTGTAAATTCTTATATACATCACTAGAATGTTGTATTTCACTGTATACAAAGGTCTTAAATTTGTTTATTCTGAGTTGCTTAGGTTATACAAGTATTCAAATCTTACATTTTTTAAACTTCACCTTTATGAAAAAACTAGTATTGACTCTTAATATTAAATACTGTTTATCTGTGTAATCAACTGATAGTTTGTTTTAAAATCTAGAATCCACTGAAATCTTTGGGGGATTATAGCTCTGTATACATTTTTCCTATAAATTATATGATCTCTTAGTATTTGTTGGTTTAAAGGGTTTACTTCTGTGATGATGCTGTTCCATGTGAATTGGATAGTTGTACCACATCTCACAAGAAAATCAACAAACTAATGGCCTCTTCCTAAATTACTGTCTCCTGGGCTGGTGACCTTATGTAATTGTTAACATATGCTGCATGCATAGAGCATTCCTTTCTTAGCATGTTACACATCTCACAAAATCAAACCTTGATTATAGCCCCATTTTCATGGTATAAGCTTTGTTTGGATTTGAAAAATATGTTTGTACATGCTTCTTATACTCACATGCTTTGGTTCTTCTGAACTTTGTGTCTTAATGTAGGTTGCTGTTACATGGGAGTCAGGAAAAATATGGTAATAGCAAATCACAATGGTTTGCCCCCTTCAAATCATTGTTTTCTGCCCTGCTTTGGGAACAGGTTCTCTTTGTGCCTGATTTGGAAATCACAATAAACTGGTTAGTAAGGCATCCAGTGAAGCACATACCTGGACCAGGCAAAAGAAAGAGGGGAGTGTATATGCTTAAGAGGCAAACGATGGTGTTGGCCTGATGTTTAAACTAGGCCAGGCACAAATCACTGGAGCAAGAAGGATAGCAGTCATAAATAAACGGATTACTAAGATTATTCCTTGTGTAAGATTTGATTCTTTTTTTCCTATGACTAAGTATTATGCAGATGAAATTTTACCTAATTAGTGGATTTAGTGATTTTCACACCTCTGCCTGCCTGTCTCAGAGTACTAGTAAGTCTACTTCATCATCTATGAAATATCATTTTGAAATTACACAAGGTGCAATTACATGATGTGTAGGTTACATGGGGTATACATTACAGTATAATTTGAATGACGATGCTTGCTCTAACACACATCTGCGTCATATAAAACAATGTCTGCTGTGCGATGTGGTGACGCTGTGGGCTAAAACGCAGAAGCCTGTGCTGCAGTGTTCAGAAGAACAAGCAGTCGTAAGATCGAATCCACGTGACGGAGTGAGCGCCCGTTACTTGTCCCAGCTCCCGCCAACCTAGCGGTTCGAAAGCATGCAAATGTGAGTAGATTAATAGGGACCACCTCGGTGGGAAGGTAACAGCGTTCCGTGTCTAAGTCGCACTGGCCATGTGATGACGGAAGATTGTCTTCGGACAAAAACGCTGGCTCTATGGCTTGGAAACGGGGATGAGCACCGTCCCCTAGAGTCGAACACGACTGGACAAAAATTGTCGAGGGGAACCTTTACCTTTACCTGCTATGCGAATCTGAAAAACTATTTCCCAGATTTGATCTGTTTCCTAATGAAAGCTTATACAGGCGTACCTTGGTTTATGAAACACCTCAGTCAACGTAATTTTCGGTTTATGAAAGAAAATCCATTGAAAATAATGCCTCCGTTTATGAATTTTTTTTCACAATACGAAGCAAGTTTCCCCAGGATGCATTGTGCCTGGGAGGTTTATAGCACTGCCCCCGTGCATACGTTGGTTTACAAATTTTTCGCAATACAAAATGTCCTGGAGAATGCATTCAATTCATAAACCGAGGTAAGCCTGTACTAAGGGTTTACCCAGGCAAAACATTTGTCCGTTTGTTGTCCATAAAACTACCAGATTCTACACAGATGTTACTGATATTTTGTCTGCCTTTGTTACAATGTTCCTTTTGTGTTAATATGCTTGGACCTTTTTTACCCTGTCAGTGCTTGGAACATTTTCCCCATGGATTATTTATTGTATCTCATTCCTTCCCTTCCTCTCTCTCTCTCTCTCTCTCTCAAGGCGGAGTTTGCAGGAATTTCACTTTTTTTTTTTTTTTTTGCCTTTTCTAGTTCCTGCTGCAGAGGGTTGAAGTAGAAAAGTAGATGCAAGCTGCATCCCTCCATGCATGCAGGATATGATTCAGGGTGTTTATTTTCCTACCTGCTTATTTTCTATTTCATTTGTCAGGAGAAAGCTTCTGCTACATTGTGTAAAACTGCAAAGGAGACCTCAATCTTGCAGCATGATCTCAAACTCTAAGAGATAGAACGTTTATGGTTGGTTTAGTTTCTCTTCCTTCACTTCCTCCAATCTCTGCCACTGCTTCTTTGCCTTGTGCAAGCAGTATAATGCTAGGTGCCATTGAAAACAATTTTAGAACCTCAAGCTTTGGTCTGGCACTTGAGTTTTCGGTGAGTCTCCTTTCAGCCTTAACTCTTTTGCCGCAGAAACTAGAAAAACCGAGCAAGCAAAGCTTTGTTTTAAGGAGCAGAGAAGCAGGACTTTTCCCAGACAGGACACTTTTGTGCAGGAATAATATTGATGTTTCCACAGCTCCATCATAAGGGGCAATATAATTTATAAATGCACATCCCAGTAACTATTTAAATCCTGTGAGAATGTGAACAAAGAAGGGCAGGGCAAGGCACACACCCCATCTAGTAGAGCCCTGAGATTTCTAGAAATGTAACCAATGCTGATTCCCTTCGTTACAAGGGAAATTCTTAAAGTACTAGGATCTTCTCTCCATTCCTCCCTCCCGCATTAAATTGTGAAAGCTGATGTTTTAAGCAAAAATGCTATTAGTTTTATATTGTAACAAGGCTGCTTGCAATCTCAGCTCTGCTTGGGGATTTGAAGTCTGATTTTCTGAATCCTTGCAAAGTACACTTTATTTGTTACATTTTATTTTACACTTTTCCTTTGATGAGGTCAAGGTGGTGTACTTGGCACTCATCTCCTGTGTTTTGTCTTCACATTAGCATGCAACAAAGAACACAGGCAGTGACTCCTTAATCTGCATCAGTTTGTCACTGTTATTTACATTTTACACTTCCACCACCATAGGAAGCAATAGGATTTAGCCCAGTGTAATTTCTGGAAAATGCTGAAACTGTATAATTTTGATGCTATAGCAAAGTCCTTTGTTTCTGGATCTGCAGGCTGGCACCTGAAGCTTAATGCACCCAGACATGACAGGTTTTCAGCAATAAACTTTGCAGATAGGCAGTGTTCATCTGTTAACAGTAGTACCAAGTACTATTGTTGTTGTTGTTTAGTTGTTTAGTCGTGTCTGACTCTTTGTGATGCCATGGACCAGAGCACGCCAGGCCCTCCTGTCTTCCACTGCCTCCCAGAGTTGGGACAAATTCATGTTGGTCGCTTTGATGAGACTGTCCAACCATCTCATCCTCTGTCATCCCCTTCTCCTCTTTCCTTCACACTTTCCTAATAGAGTCTTTTCCAGGGAGTCTTCTCTTCTCATGAGATGGCCAAAGTATTGGATCCTCAGCTTCAGGATCTGTCCTTCCAGTGAGCACTCAGGTTGATTTCCCAGCTCAGAGAGCCTCCCTAGGACGATACTGTGGTTGACACTATCAAAGGTGACTGAGATATCTAGAAGGACCAACAAAGACATTTTGCCCCTGTCAGCCTCAATTAGCAGGTCATCAAACAGGGCGACCAATACCATTTCTGTGCATTTATTATAGCAGTGGCCTGTTCGGTTGTTATAGGCCTGGCTGCTTTGATTAGCCAGGCCAGGCAAGGGTCAAGGAAGGAGGAGGTGACACGACAGTGGTCAAGCACTTTGTTCACCATATCTGGCATCACAGGCTGAAAGAGACTAAGTCTCATCAGGCAAGGCAAAGCGCTGGACGTCTCTGCTCGGTCAACTGTGTTCAAGAAAGGAGAGAGCTCCTGGCGGATGGCCTCCACTTTAGTGTTTAAAAATGGTGCAAATTGGTCAGGTGAAATACTAGTAGGAGGCCTATCACTTAGACCAAGTCCAGATAGATCGCGGACTATACGGAAAAGTTTGGCCTGTTGATTTGAAGATTTGCTCATCCGGACAGTGAAGTAAGCTCGACTAACAGCCCCCACCCTGGTAAGGTAAAGGTTAGTCACAATCCTGACAGCTTTTCGATTATAATCAGTTGGATTTCATCTCCACTTGCACTCTAGCCTTCTCCTACTTTGCTTCATAGCTCGCAGTTACTGGTTAAACCAGGATGCTGAATGAGCTCTGCAACAGGGCGTTTAGGAGCGATCGTGCCAATAGCCCTGTTAGCAGCGGCAAGCCAGCCATCAACCAGAGACTCAACAGGAGTGCCGGTCAAATCAGCCAAAATCCCTCTTATGGAGTCCTGGAATCCTATAGGATCCAGTAACCTTCAAGGGCAGATCATTAAAATAGGTCCTTGCTCTCTGCGGGGAGGGAGAGCCACAGGCTGCATTTGATTACTCGGTGATCTGACCATGACAAGGGGACTAAGGTCAGTCACCATCAGACCACACTCACTTCGCTCGGGGGGAAACCAGGTCTAATGTGTGACCGCCAACGTGTGTGGAGCCGAAACACCAGGTCTAATGTGTGACCGCCCACGTGGGTGGAGCCATGGACATGTCCAAGGAAGCCATGGTTTCCAAGAACAAAAGAGCCAGACCAGAAACCTTTGCCTCTGCATGGATGTTGAAAGCACCCAAGACCAAAAGCCTTTGAGATTCCAACAGTGCCGCAAAGATAGAGTCTGTCAGCTCCAGTAAGGAAATGGCTGGGTCATGGGGAACGCGGTAACCCAGCGAGATCCCAATACCATCCCTGGCCCCAATCAACACGTAGGGCCTCAAGACCTGGTGTCCCCACCGTGGAGCACCTACCAACCTCTAGAGTGTTTTTACAGACATTGGCTACTCCCCCTGCCCCTCCAGTCTACCCTGGTGTTGGCGTGCATAACCTGAAGGGCAGGCAAGGGTCAAGGGAACACCCCCTTCTCCACCCATCCAAGTCTCAGTTATGCATGCCAAGTCTGCATCCTCCAGGATAAGGTATTGGATAACCTGGGATTTGTTGGATACAGACCTGGCATTCAGCAACACTAGATTTAGAGTGGAGGGATGGCTCGTCTGACTATCTTGAGTCTGATGGTTGGTCACAGTGCCAGAACAGTGAACAGCCTTCAAACATCTGTTCACCATTCTTCTGCAACGAGTAGGAACTGTGTCAACACCATATCTCCCTCTACCTGTAATAATGTTCAGAGGACCCTCACTGAAGAGGACAGGCCCTCCACTCCATGTCAATCAAAAAGAGGGGGGGGAGGAAAAGACCAGAAAGATCTATTAAACAATAACCAATTTAAACAATGTAAAAAAAAATAAAATATAGAAGAAAATATAAAAATAGAATAAAAGACATTCCAAACCCATCCTACTGTTGGGCCCCTGTTAAACGTGCCTGTAAAGGTGATGTGATCACAAGAAGGGCCGCCTCAGGTCATCTTAAAGAGTCAAGTATGGTTATATGGGGAGATATGGTCTATCATAGAGCCTGGACCTCAGCTGTACAGGACTTCATAGGTCATAACCTGCATCTTGAATAAGGCTCATAAACAGACTGGTAGCCAGTGAAGCTGCTGCAACAGGGGAGTTAATTTCCCATAACTGGCCCCAGTCAATAGTCTGGCTGTGACATTTTGTACCAGGTAAAGTTTCCAAACCATTTTTAAAGGCAGCCCTGCATATAGTGCGTTGTCATAATCGAAATGGAAGGTAACTAAGTCATGTATCACTGAAGCCAAATCAGATGTTTCAAGTAATGGATGCAGCTTTAACTTTGCAAATGCACTCCTGCCCACTACCAAGATCTGGGT